AAGGAAATTGATGCATGGACAAGAAATTGAATCATAAGAGAAGATGGAAGACTATCAACAGCATATGGATTATAGAAAATACACAAAGAAGACGAATCGCTAAGGTTGATAGTCAACAAAACCTGTGGTGGTAAAATTCATGTTTGAAATTTAATAAATTAAATGACAGTTTATCAAACAGTGGAATAATTATATGAATTTTCTCATTCCGGAAGCCTCATCATCTAGTCCTCAGGATCTCTACTTAAAATGCAAACCTTATTAGACAAAAGAAGTTCAGCGTTCACCCTATTTCGTTTAAGGTGATGAAGAACTAGTAGATGAATTTTCCCAGAATGATATAAGTAGAGCTGACGTTTCACATAGACTTGCTTTCCCAAAAGGTGTTCTCATCCAGGGTGGACTACAGTTTCAACTTCTCATAGGTCTTATCAACACCTCCAGCGAACCATGTCAGCGCAGTGTGTAAGCTCGACACGTTAGCCACTCCGCTACATTGCCATGAGTGCCCCTGGGTCACAGGGCAGATTCGAATTTCAAGAAAGGTCAGACATTTTCCATATCATATTCTGTGTTGGGATTGTCCATGAAGCAATCTACGGCATTACTTTTTTTGTTATTAAGTACGTTTTCGAGACTACCAGCAAATAAGATATATGAGTTGTGTTTATCCTATTTCGTCTAATGCAATAAAGGACCGGTAGTTAAATTTTCCCACAATGATATGACTTGAGCTCAAGTTTCCATTGTATTTCACGTGGTCTTGCTTTCACAAAAGGTGTTACGATCCACAGTGGAATGAGGTTTCGACCTCGCATAGGTCTTATCAACACCCCGAGGGGAAACGCCAGCTCCACTCATATCCTTGTGGGAAAATTCAACTATCAGTCCTTCATAACCTTAGACGAAATAGGGTGAACCATATCTCATATATCTGATTTACTGCTAGTCTCGAAAACCTACTTAATAACAAAAAAATTAATGTCAGCGTTCGACACCCGCATTCTTTCAGAAGCTAAAGGAAACTTATCATATAGAGAGGAATGAATTATTTAAGTTTATAGATATTAAGTCAAAGCTCTGGCGTGATATTGCCAGGAATGACACTAAAAGATTTTCAGAAATTTCCAGAGTATGGCCTAAAAGAAATCAGGTAAGATCTCTTATTTAATACCAAAG